CTTGCTGCTTATGGGTCTTCAATTGCAATTTCTTAAATTATCTGTCCTTAGTAACAGTTGTTAGTTTCAAATTTCGGCAAAATCTCGCGGTACTCACTGTCGATAAAATCCCGATCATTTTAAATAGATATCACAGTATTGGGCGCAAGGGCGTGCCGGACTTTCTGCTCCCCGAGGCGAGTTTCTAACAATTATGCCCCTTATACCCAATTTAAAAAATAATTCGAGGAGAAAAATATGTTATATTATATTGTTCCTGGAATATTATAGATGTTGTTGTACAAGAGAATGAACAAATTAAATTTCAGGTAAGACTGAAATGTTTGCATAATTATTATTTATATTATCCAACTACGTAGAATTATATTCTTGATCGATGATATATCTTGTACGTAGTGATGAATCATCTCTACATTGGCTGAAAATAAAAATGAAAGAAGAACTAAAATTTAAAGTACGAGATATATCAGAGAAAGGAACGTTTATTTTGTTTTTTGGTGAAGGGAAGTAAACAAAATGATTTGTTATTAATATAGGATCATTGAGGTGTATGGTTTTGAAAACCCACCACGAGATTTCAACTCAATTTTTTCATCCGGGAATGATGTTATTAAAATTCCGAGATTTCAAGAAACAATCCAATATTTAAGCGATATTATTTCCAAGTAATCTATTTTTGATAATTTGTTCAATACAAGATGGCAGCTTTGTCATGATGGTAAACCAGCGCCGTATTCATTTTCAAGTCTGAGAATGATAGTGAATCAGTTTCTATGGGCTTCCTTTATACGTTGACTGTCGATTTTAAAAAGGAAATCTTCGTAAACTTTTTTCGGTCACATATAATTTCGAAAATTACCGATATCGTAAGAGCACAAGATTTACCTTTTATGATATTACACAAAAATAGAATCCGACAATAACAGTGACGAAATGATTCGAGCAAATTGAAATAGACTGCACTTACTCAATTTACGCAATTTGAGTTACCGTTCAGTTGACCGTTTCCACACGGTGGAGCGTGATCATCTTCGTGAACACATTCATCATTCCAGTTGCATACCTGAGAATACTGACACGCCGGATCGCACACTAAAAGTAACCGAATAGAAACAGGTTAGATTTTAGAAATTGTCTATTTTAATATACATGGTAATATGAAGTGGGGTTTCATAATTCTTGGTCAACTTATATTCGTTTCACCAGGTTTTACTGACTTTTCATTTCAACAAACATATATATGTGACAATGATAAATTAAATATCTTAGGATGTAAGAGCAAGGCTTGCGCCGAGCAAGAAGTTCTCAAGGTGGAAAGCCTATAGCAGGGATGGCGAACCTATTTCAATGAATGGGTCAAAAATTATATTTTTATCGCGTAACAGAAGAGAGTGGGTCACAGTTACTCAATCAATGTTTGTATCTATAATTATGAAACTTCTGGAACAAATCTTATAAGCTTCTGTTGGTGATGGTGTAGTTTTGGGCATTACTTATGCAACGCTTCTATCAGGGACTTTATAAGGCACTCGATTTTATGAAATTAGAGTACGAAATAACGCATATGAATTACCAAAAACGTTTATGATTATGCGGCAAATTATTTCAAAGAGTTGGAGGGAATTCCACTCTGATAGTGTTATATTTTTTGATCAGCTTTCAGCCACATTAAGACACTTTTACACTGCCCAATTGTTATTTCAGATTTCTAGGTTTTCATTTCAAGTTTGGAATATTTTGTTTTCTCAATGGCATTGTAGGCGAGAAACTAATAAAATGTAAAGTAGCATCTAGTTTTCGTATAACCCCTAAAACAGTATACAGATGCACTTCCGAAAAAAACAAGACGTTGCGAGAAATGAACAGATTAATGGCATTGTTATTTTATAAACGATGTCAGAGCCAATAAATGAATAACGGTACACAGCTGCGCAGACATTGAAACATGCGTCCATTTGAATCCACATTTGAATATGAGCGATCGCAGCCCTACTGCCCAACTGGCGGTACATTATAAGAGTTTATTAATTGTTAAATTAATTCAAGGCCGGTTTTATAAATTTTTATCACTGATATGTTAGCGTTTTTCAAATTTCATTCGTGCCTTGGCGGGTTACGGATGAAACGCGGTGGGTCACTTTGTGACCCGCGGGTCAGTGGTTCGCCATCCCTGGCCTATAGAGTCAACAAATTGAAATCCGACTCCGGATTTAAAACATTTTTAGCCCAACTCTATGCTCCCGTATGACGCATTTCGCAGAAAGTCATTTCTGTTGTAATTGAGAAATCATACTTCGACTGTTAAGTTGCGTCTAATTGTTTCACTAGCATTGAGATGTGAGTCTATAGTCTATACTAAAAAATTCGAAATATAACTACGGCTTTACTTCTCTGCTAGATAGCAATGAGCGGGAAGTTGAACAATGAGTTTTTTTTTTGTACCAAATTTATTTCTAGACGACCATTTTTATATTCAGGCCGGCCTTCCATCACAGATCGACTTAAGCAAATTAGTTTAGTAAACGGCTTGTTTGCACAACGAAGCACAATGTTTGAATATAAACGTTTGAGCATCGTTCTCTTGTACTCACCAGCATCTACGTGGAGTATCATCACTGAAGTAACAGCCAACATCAGGGTCAATATCAAGATTTTGTTCATCATTTTGACTTTGGATGAAGTTTTTTTGTAACAATACATGTTCATCTAAAACTTTTTACTAAAAAATGAAACAAATAAATATACAGACAAATAAATTGTTGTTCTGAAACAAAATATTACGATTCCTTTTGACCTATGGACCATACAGTTTTAAAGGTAGATTTCGTAGACGTGGAGCGTCACAAGATTGTTCCAATGTATATTTTTGCGCGGCATTTTTGTCCAAGATTTTTAAAATTCTCTGCTGCATGGCTTAATGACTTAACAAGAGCACGTACTTTCGAAGTTATTGTTTTCCTATTTTATCCCGGGAGGAAGCGTACCAAACATAATAAACATATGACTACGAAAAATATACGTCTCGCATATTTACCAGTAGCAGTAATCAATTTCTTTTGGCTGAAGAAGTCCTATCCTGCAACCCTCTCTCGCGCAATTCGAACCAGACGAGGCGTCGCCGCCCTAGAGAGTATGCAAGAAATACCCACAGGCAAGATGAAAAGCCTTCATAAGAAGCCACGTGAAATCCGAAAACGACCGGCGTGAATCAACCTGACATTGTGAAATTCACGGAATTCAATTGGTGGTGCGAAGTTAGGTATATAAACGCCTAACATGACGCGCCATAGGTTTTTACGCATCTTAAATCGCGGCCAGGCCTTCCACTGAACCTTTGCTAGTATGTTGCCCGAGCAATTCATGAGGAATGAAGCTCGTTCGACAACTCGCCCGTATTGAACTTCATGTTGTGGTTATTTATGCTTTTTCAATATGAATGAATAAACAAAAAACCTAACGTGACAGCAGAAAACATCACGTTAGGTACAGAAAGAAATCAATATGCTGTCAGTGAAACACTACTGCGAATTTCTATTCAAGAAACCTTTGCAGCTGGAGCGGTTCGATTGTTTTCATATCATAAGCAAGGCTAGTGGATGATTGCCGGTGTAGGCAATTTCTCACTTGTACTACAATGCAAATGGAGAAAGGGCAAAACGTTGGGTAGCAGGATATGCGATCGGAATAGAATTTCTACTAGGTGAGCTCAATTTGTCCTATGTGAGCTCAAACTTAGATAGATAGTTTATTCTGGAAACTCACACAAAATAAAAATGGAGAATTCCGGAGAGCGAGCAAAACCTTTAAAAAAGTTTAAAACATGAGAAATATCATGTGCCCGTTCACCAGCACACACTCAAAAACACAAACCTTGTTACACGAAGCTTGGGCCAGAAATAGACACACGAAAAATACCCGGGTGCATTGAAGTGTACTTACGTCTCCTTCAATGTTATTGAATACAAAACATTTTTATTCGAGTTTCCCTTCACTGTGAAATGCATTTTTTTAATGTTTTTTCCCCTATTTTATGTTCGTATTCAGTGTTTGTCAGTTTGGTGAACCGATAAACATCTGACTAACTGACTAAACAGCTGGATTGAGTATAGTAGCGTCCGCGCTAGATCTGAAGTTCTCGCTGAAAACGTACGCGCGAGTTCTCCATCCTTCACTCAGCCGAGTAACTCTTTTTCCCGCAATCAATCATTTTCAGCAAAAACTGACGTGGTTGCAAAAGTCCTGGATTCAGTTTAAGGGCGCAAAGATAATGGTACCCTAGATTTTATCCACCAAATTAAAATAAAAGTTAATGAAGACGAGCAAATGACTTTTAGACTTCTAGAACTCACATTATACTCCACTTCATATAGATATCTATCTGTATATGGCCCAGCGGTTCCAAGGGGGGATGGGAGTCGTCCACGGAGCAATTGGAGGGGTCCACAATGCTAGACGCAAAACTTATTTTACTTTTGTATTCAATAATGTTGTAGAAGATGTAGGTTTGAGCTCACACGGTAGAACTTCTATTTCGCTCACATATTCTGCTACCCAACGTTTTGCCCTTCCTCTATTTTTATTACAATTTAAGTGAGAAATTGTCCGAATCGTGGTCAGCCGCGAGCTTTGCTTGTGATAATGAAACAATCGCATAGAACCTTCCAACGGCAAACGCCGCATAATGAAAGTTCGCGGTAGCGCTACTCTGTCGCCATATTGATTTCTTTCTGTAATCAACGTGATGTCTGCTGCTGTCACGACAGGATTTTTTTTTATACTGAAAATGCATGAATATTCGCAGCAGGAAGCCCAATTTAATTGAGAAGGTTCAATTGGACGTGTGGTCGCGATTTAAAATGCGCAAAAATCACTGGCGCGTCGTGTTGAGCGTTAGTAATATACTTACCTTCGCACCGTCAATCGAATTCCGTGATTACTAAACTTTTCGCAATGTCAGGTTGATTCACACCGGTCGTTTTCGGAGTTCACGTGGCCTTTCTTATGGAGGCTATTTAAATGAGACGCCACGCCTGGTTCAAATTGCGCGAAGAGAATTGCAGGATAGGACGCGTATTCTCCGTTGATCAGTGGCGAGTTTCTCATTCAGTCAGAAGAAATTGATAATTGTTACAGGTAAATAGGCGGGACGTATATGGTTCGTATTCATATGTTTGCCGTTTTCGGTACGCTTCCTCCCGGGGTAATATAAGAAAACAATAACTTCGAAAGTACGTGCTCTTGTTAAGTCACATGCTGCAGAAAATTTTAAAAATCGAAATAAAAAAGGCAGCGCAAAAAATATACATGCATGAAAGGTGGAACAATCTAGTAAATAAACTATATATCGCTCTACGAAATCTACCTTCAAATGCGCCAGAATTGAAAAAGCGGATGGTCCATAGGTCAAAGAGAGATCGTTATTTTTCGTTCTTTACAATAACCTGCCTGTTTCATTGTTTGGTAAAGGTTTTAGATAGACTTGTCTCGTGTCAAAAAACTTCCAAGTCAAAATGATGAACAAAATATTGGCTCTGTTTCTGGTGTTGGCTGTTGCTTCAATAATGATACTCAACGTAGAGGGCGCAGGGTGGTTTCTAGGTCAAGGTAGGTATATAATCAGGAAGCGATACTCAAACGTATATTTTCGAATGTGGTGCAGAGTAAATCGATTTGCGACGAGGCAAAATATGAAAGTAATTGTCTTGTACAAAAAATGATTTAATTGGTCCAAGACTTCGAGGAAAAAGCTCCATTATTCTACGTTGTGCTCATTGCTTTCTATAAGATAAGTTAAGTCAGAACCATATTCTAAATTCTCAGAGTCGAAACAAACCAAACCTGTCTCAAGCATCCCAAAACTCCAACGCAGGAAATATGATTTTCAAACAGGATCACAAAATACTTTGCTACCAAATACTATAAATTTTGTAGTCAAAATTGGGTTACGCTGGAAACGATTAGGTTAGGCGTTGGGGCATAAAATATTTTTGTGTAATTGAGCGCAATACGATCCATCATCTATTACAAATGGATTCTTACCAGGCAACCTACCACATCCTCTTTATTCATTCTTGTCACGTATTTCGGAGAAGAATGCGGTCTAGACAGAAACTCAAGGCAATTCTGTTGAAGCGCCTTATGAAATCATTATAAATCCATGTTTCATTGTTACGTGTTTATTCTAAAACAGACATTTTTTTATTTGATCTGATTCTATTCTGTTATTTTAGACTGCTCTCCGGAATGTGAGCGCAATGAAATATGCATTCAAGGAAGTTGTCTGGTAAGTACCGTTCATTTCATTTTTCAGAGCCCCTGTGAGTATAAGGGTATATAAATCTCATTATGATGTTTTATGGCCAGTCTTTCTCTATCAGCAATCTAGTCATACCTGAGAGGGGGCATGACCAAAACAAACGCAACCCAGGCATTTCAGAAGTATGTGTACCAATATGGAGGTAACTAATTTTGTTCGCCTACTTTACATCAATTTGTGTAAAGGGACGAAAGCCTATGGGCAGGAGGTATATTCACTTGGCTAACACAGACAGTCCCCGAATTCGTAATAGAATGGAAATAAGGAAAATCTGAATGAAATTAGGGCCTAACTCTACCATGGTACACATATTACTGGATTACCCAAATTGGTTACCTTCATTTTTAAGCAACAGCAGAAGTTGGATGAGGACTCAGCATTATGGAAAAGGGATTAATCTTATCAAACATTATGATCAAGAACATACTTCTACATATTAAAATGAGTATAAACGTTGTATCATAAATAAATGTAACTCATGAAAGCATGTGTTTTTTTTCTCTCCATATTGTGATGAATTATTCTCATGTGAAAGTTCATTAGGATATAAAGCATACTTAGAAAGCAGAATGCAGCGTATGTAAATGCTGATTAGGAAAACTGAACATGTGACAGATTGCCTGGCCTTAGCACAAAGCCTCTGGCGCGTTGAGCTCTGTTGAGCGTTAGGAATATACTTTTGATTCCCAAAGTTGATTGACTGCGGGCCAAAATTAGAAGCTAAAGGATATTCGCGGTCCAGGGGAGGGAGCGCTCGCAAGGGCCCGATACCGGTATATAATTAAGATACCGAATGGTTGAGAACCCCAACTAAGTTGTAACGAATATACAAGTGCCTAACCGTGGGATAATGGCGTAACAATTGGCAGAATCTAGAACACAAAAAGAAAAATCATAAAGTGTTAAACTAGTTTATTCAATTCGGCGAGCCACATTAAATCATTACGCGGGTCGCACTCGTCCCGCGGTTTGGGGACCACTGCTTTATAGTGTCAGTCGCTCTCAACACTTTAGTATTCGCCAGTAGCTTCGCTGAGAAAAATTCTTTTTAATTTCTGAGTGACTTTTCGTCACCTTGCTTCTAGCAAATAGTCCTGAAAAAAATCCTAAACTGCGTTCCACTGAAGCTTTGCAATTCGTTTGTCCGTGATGCCAATGCCTATCAGCTTCGTTTGCGATGTTGCACTGAATTGAGATATCTGCTGCCGGTATTTATGAGTTTTTAATATCAAAACGCATTAACCAATCGTATTTCAGCAGTTAGTTAGACGTTATAACAACATCCTGCATTTAGCGTTGCAAGAACTAGAATTCGGGAAATTCATGCCAGACTGTCACAAAAGTGACATCATTTTGCTCTCAGTCTGCTTCTTAAGTCTTCAGTAAACAAACGGAAATTATCAATGTTTTGGAACGTGTGTTGCAACCGCACGATATCAGGCTAACACTGCATACCATGTGCAGCATTACCTTAGAACTTGCTGTATGACGAGTTTCACTCGAGGCCAGAGCTAATAAAAGATGGAAGTTTTTCTTAGCTTAAAAGTTGTTGTATTTGTTGACCCCAACAGCAACAACTGAATTTAATACAACTGAAGTATATGTCTATTATATTTCAACCAATACTGTTCGATTAATAACTTAATGAGACTTTTCCAGAGTTTTTTCAATTCCAGTTTAGGCATCTCTTTAATATTTCCGTCATTCGGAATCGAAATAGCAGACTATGTCACGTGCGTTCTTCAAGGCGTCTGTATTTGCGGTTTCTAGTGTCGGGTTACTGTTTTTAATAAATAACCAATAAAAAAAAACTCTGATTGAACATAAAAGCCATAGTGAACTAACAGTGACAAGTCCAAATTTCCGAATCGGACTAAAAAAAGCCTTCAGAGATGACAATGGATCTTACGCTCAGCTCAGCAACGACTTCCTTGTTTATGTTCGTAAGCATGAACAAGAGAGCTCTGCTCAAATATATGGACACGTCACACGGTGTCGCTATCTTTTTATTCTGACCCATAAAAAACGAATCTCTTGAAGTCCACAGAAATTGTTGAAATAAGTAAAAGTAATAGCCTTCTGGCAAAAAAATCAATCTCTAACCACTGAAAATTTCAAAGCAATTGGTCTAGTATTCGAAGAGAAAAGCGATTTTATTATGACGAAGAAGAAGACTATGAACAAGAACAACAACATAATATTGAAACGATCGTTATGTACACTGAAATGTCCAATAACATCCACAGTAAACTAACAGTGACAAGTCCAAATTTCCGAATGGAACTAAAAATAATCTATTTGACTAAGCCTTCCGAGATGACAATGGATCTTACGCTCAGCTCAGCAACGACTTCCCTGTTTATGTTCGTAACAATGAACAACCAGTCATAACTAAACGGTGACGCAACAATTAGAATTTTAGCTTTCAATCAGACGCTCATATTTTTAAGGGTGGTTGAAAACATTGACTCATTTTTTTTCTTTTTTGACGCTAATTGCCAGTTCCAAAATAGCAATGGCGGGAATTTGACGAAGAAGGGTGAGAACCACTTGACTACAGTGTTTCGACAATGGCTGCATAGGCGCACAGGGCTGGGGAAATTGACAGTGTTCTTTTTGAATGAATCTGATATTGTGCGATTACGATACGTCCGTCTGACTCTGGAAGAACACTAGGAGCAACGATATTTACCCTTTTTAACGTCTGGCAAGAATTTCTCAAATTCCAATTTCCGGAATACATGAGAATCAGAATTCCTGAAGATCACATGTGCACACTTATACCAGCGGATGCCAGGTAGGCCTACTTGTTTTCGGACATCGAATTCAGCAAAAGATTATCTCTCAGGCAGTGATGGGCTTTAAAATTTTAAGAACGGGTTCATTGCATCGAACTCACCAGCAACGGGTTCTCTCATTCCAGAAAAGATATGTAAATCTCTACGAACTTTGTGAGACGACCACGTCTATAACTCTGTTTTATTCTGTGTGCCCATATTTGTTCTTACCACTTGAGTCACTAGTGAGCAGCTGTGTAACTTTCTTTTTTTTAGCTGGTTTGTCAGACTGCCGGCAGTGTAGATATTTCCTCTGTGTTTTAGGTTATTATTATAGTGTTTAGTGCCGTTAATCTGTGTAATTCTTGTTGTAAAATGATATTAGTAGTACGGGTTTACTGTTTCTCTAGTTGGTATAGCTCTGTTCACTAGTTAGCTTGTATTTACCACTTCCGTAACTAGTCTACTTTCGCAGTTTATTTCCTGTGTGATTTCTATGCGTATTTCCATGTATATTACGTGTTTGTCGATAAGATAGGATTTGTGTTGTATCTTTAGTGTCATACTAGTTATTCTTATGTATATCTAGGTATGTTTTACCCGGTTTTTAATATCCCATTATAAGTAAATAGTTCATGACTGTGACGTCATAGACCAATTCCGTATCTTGTGTTACGTATGTATCCTACGGTATTTGTACTGTGTTTTCATGTTTTATTTGTTTATTGTATTTCTTATTGGAGTATTTGGTTGTATTAAGTTCTTACAGTTGTATAATTAATCCAGTTAGTTAACTTAGTTTCTCTGCTGTAATTGGAACCGCAAGAAGATTATTTTGTGATCGACATCTATTACAACTTCAGTGTCCAATAAGCTGGCAGAAAGAACCTGAGTGGTGATATCAATTTTGGTACGCCACATATACGAATTTTTGGCGAGCACACGCCAGGATATATTATTTGACACAGGGACTATTAAGACTAAGCCGATTAAGTAGGCTAGTCTGTGACGGATAATATTTGGACAATATTGGACATTTGAGGTTGCCGAATTTTTTTTTAATTGCGGTTGCCTGATATCTTGGAAAAATGGTTAAGAGAAGAAAGATTGTACCGGCACCAAAGGAAGCCAAAGAGGAGAATGAACTTTTGCATCTGCAAATACAGATATTAAAGGCAAAACTGAAGGAATCAGAAGAAAAACAAGAGGAAATGTTGGAAAAGCAAGAGGAGACTGACAGTCGTTTGCAACTGATAGACAGTCGTGTGCAACAGATTGGAAGTCAACTAGAATCAGTTGAACTCCAGAATGCGAAAATTGGCTCATCTTTTGAACATGTTTACAACATGCTGCAAGATATTTCTGGCGTGGTTAAAACAGGAAAAGTTGCTGATTCTGAAGAAACGCAGCCCATGTCACATGTCCCAGATGTCAGCTTGATCACTTCAACACCCGCAACGGTTGTTCCAAAAGCAGCGCCTGTTCTCAAGCATGATGAAATTTCTGATTTTGGATCAGAAGATGGACAGCCAGAAGGGAAGCGGAACGCGTTCTCACAGACATTAGAGGTGAAATTTTTGGAGAATGGTCATGTGAGTAACCTTGCACCTACAATTCCTTTTTTGAATGATAATGGTAATGAGGGCACAAATGTCAGAAGGCAACTTAGTACTAGGCCGAAAATGGTTACAGTGGCTACACAATCAGCTCCTCCAGTGAGCGCTAGTAGTGTCTCAAATGCCAATGTTAGTCGTAGTGTTCTCAATAGCACAGCTAATGCTACGATGATGGCAAGAAATGCCAAAAAGCCAATGTATTTCGATGGATCCACTGTCATGACGTGGCCCAGTTATTTATGCCATTTTGAATTGGTTACCAGTTATAATCAGTGGGATGACGACACTGCAGGATTAGAATTGGCTACTTGCATGACAGGTCAAGCTCTAAATGTGTTGAAAGATTTACCAGATATGAAACGTACTAGCTATCGTGATATTGTGGCTCATTTTAATCATTATTTCAAACCTGCCGGAAATGCGAGCTCATATCGTACTACATTTCATTGTCGTAGGATTAAGCCAAATGAAGCGCCACGGGATTATGGTAACAAATTGAAAGAGCTTGTTATTCTTGCTTACCCAAATCTTGATATTGCTGGTCAAGATGATATTTTGAAATCGCAGTTTCTCGCCGGTTTAACCGATGAAAGCATGATCAAACATGTTACCATGCAACAGCCTGATACTTTTGAAAGTGCACTGTCTCTTGCAACGCTGTATTACTCTGTTGATACTAACCACTCTGAGAGAAGAGACATGCCTAAACCTCGCATTGCCGCAGTGAAACAGAGTAACACTGGTGATGCAGCTAATCAGCAAACCGACCTTTTTCAGTTTCTCGAGAGCAGTTTTGAGCGACTTGTAGCAAAACTGGATGAGATCATAGGATATGTTAAGCCACGCGCTAACAACAATCGCAATTTTGATGGTGTACCACGCAACCCGTGTCCTCGATGTGGTAAACATGGTCATTGGGGCAGGGATTGCAAGGCATGTTTTAATTGCAAGCAGACTGGTCATCTTAAACGGGATTGTCCACATCTTCAGAATCCCGCTGATCCTGCAACAGCTGCTTCCTCTTCGACCGCAAATTTAAACGACACTCAGCGGGCTTGAGGTCCTCAGTGTCCGCTGAATTATTACTTGAT